AATGAGAAGTGCATACAGATTCAATTCCAGGGCGTACCCGAAATATCTTGATATTTCAACCCTATTCCCATTGCTTCAGCTTCCAAGTCCTGCAGGTAGAGGTTAGACACAGGCGCTTGGGGAGGCCAATTGAAATTTGAAGAGGTCACTGTTTTAATGTCTCTGCTCGAAGATTCAACGAAGGAAGAAACAGGCATAGGTGTAGGCGGTGCAACGCTTTGAAGATGGTGAGGCTTGAACTCGGGTGCACCGGTAAGCTGTTGAACAAGATCCCGGAAGTTCATAGGATCGACCTTGTACACTTTGATTGGAGTCGGAGGCATCGGTGCCACCGGAGCCTTCTTACACGGCTTCGATATTGGCTTCCTCACAGAATGGAGCCAGGAACCATGTTTCACATCCCTCGCTTCGTCTGTGACGGATGAACCATGGGAACTGGAATACTCTTGCATCATCCTGCAATTTTTCTGGGTATGGAATGTTCTGGCGTATAGGTGACGATGTGATAATGCTTAGTAATAATTAAGCTTGCTGCTGGCTGTCTGGCTTGCGAAAGATGACTACGTATATATACAAGTTTTGCGATGCATTAAAGGAGCAACGATTAAGGCATGTTGATTTGGGTTTTCAATTAGAGACAACGACTTGATGATTGGGAGGCAGCCGGGTTGGGGAATGAATGACAGAACGAAGAAATTCAAACGTGGGTTTTGTCCTGACCGTCGGCGGGTGTACGTGGTGACGTATGAGAATGAAGGAATGTGTGCGCGCGGTCAAAAATGCAGTTAGCGGGATGAGCTTTTCCATATTAAAATATTGCTGTGAGCTTGTTTTTATTGGCCGTGTCAACATTTATGTCTCGCCATTGATGAGTTTATGTAGTAACAAAAGTGTGTAGTGTCAAATTGATTGTTGTATGGGATCGACTCTACGTCATCATTAAACATTAGCCGCCACTGTCCTGTTTGGTCGAAGGGGATTTGAAGATAAAATTATTATTATTATTATGAGGCAACTAATTTTTTTTGTTGGCCAAGATTATTAGGCAGCTACTCAGAATACATTGATCCCACGCCACCGATTGACCCTTTGTATGTGCTTGACCTCATAAACCGCGTGGCTTTTTAGGGTATTTTCCATTTTTGTGAATTTGCATGGACGTTTGTCAATTAATTTGTACCTTCAAATTCCAAGTCCATCCAATCAAAAGGCGTAACTTATTTTCATTTTAAAATTCACTCTTCAATTTGATTGTTTTAAAAATGTTTGACTGAAATATTGGTTATTAATAATCTAAGGATATATATACATATAATGAATGGTGTCATCCATGCTTTTAACATTTTCTGGAAACGCTCATGGATTATGGCGATGAATTTTTAATACCCACTCGCGCACACAGATGATTTTAGACAACACGTTGACGATATAAAATTCAGTTCAAGTAGTAGTGTACTAGTGTTATTACTAATATGGAATATGTATGGTGCAAAGCCTACTACTTCGTTAGGAAGTGGAAGGCCGATCTCCAAATAATTTAAAGGGGAGGGGTGACAAACGGTGTCGTATTGCCTCAGTGCAGAGCGGAGACAAGCTGTGTCTGATTTGGAATGGTCGTTTCAGATCCACACTGACCCAACCATGGCACGAACCATCATGACTTGGAACCCAAGATACATGCAGCAAATGGTAATGCTACTGCTTTCAAATTTCAATATTAATTAATAGTAAGCCATATTGGGATCTCGTGGTCTTGTAATGATCTCACATTCATATACGCAAAATTGCGGGACCAAGCAGTATCAACACTTGCAGATTCGTGTGTGTGTGTGTGGTGTGTTTTTTTTTTTTAAAAAAAAAAGCGTGCAATTAATGCCTCATTTGCTGGGCAAACACATTCGATCACATGCAGGCCAGCTATTCATCTAGAATTTGACATGTTACGGAAGCTCCCAGTGCTGATGTCTATTGATCTTTGTCACGTAAATAATCTGGGTCCCATTATCCCTTTCATTCATATGAATGAACTCCTGGGCAGTGGATTAGAGCAGGAATGCTGTCAAATTTGAGTAATTAAGGTAATGTTTAGTAAACAACAAGTATTTTCTAGAAATAAAATATAGTTGTTTTTCATTTTCTTAAAAAATACTTTCGTTCTTACCAAACATGCATAATTGAATTAAACTGAACTCCTTCATTTCATGGGTTTTGTTTCACTGGAGATGGTTTCAAGAATGGATCATGAGTTATTGACCCTCCCGTCTACGCTGATGGGGACAGTCGGTTTTCAGTGAAATCTGTCTACCACACTTACTGATGACTTTGTTTCTGCCTCTCTCTGAGGCCATCAAACCACGCCAATTATTGTCCATAGCTGTATGTCACTTCGCTTTCTTGTGGAAATGATTTTGGCTTATTTACATAGTAGTAAAATTAATTCATTTGTCTTCTCATGTTCTGATTATTGCAATCAATGATGGAATCAGACCCTTGCATTTTTGCGGTCATCTCTGCGGTGTGAAACCAAATAACGTTTCGTGATTTCTAGACAACTTCGTTTTTCACGCGCATGGATAGTAGGGAGGATGCAAATTGTAAAGAAGTGACCACCTTGTCCGACTGCTCGTTCCAGCCAGCTTAATCATTACTAGTCAATGTTTTTGCACTAATTGAACTGCTGGCCGTTGTTTTCTACCAAATTAAAACGAAAATCTACACATGTGAATTTGAAAAAATATATTACGTTAATCTGAAAGTTAAGGTCACTAACGTCCAAGAAGGAGTCAAAATAAATTTCATAAATTTTCAGTAGTTTTTCCCAAAAATATTTCATGAAAAAATTTGTCCAGGCTTGAAAGTACTTCACAGTCGACTTTGTCCATCATATGATCCCTTCGATGCCATTTAGAATGAGTTTGATGATCCCATATACGTATACTAAGCGGGTCTTTAATTAATTATTTTTTTCAAGCATTACTCCTATATTCAGGTGAAAAAAAGGTATTACTCCTATTACAATTTTGTGGGAAGAGGCTTGAAGTCTAATATAGGGTTTCTTTTTGCTCTTAAATATTGGTAAAGTTCAAGTAAGAAAATATATGGGTGAAGTCAAAAAAATTTAGACAAAATTAACAAGTTAATTACCTCTTCTTGATTTTATTGAAGTGATTAGAAATGATTTACGACAAAGACAGAAGGAAATATAACAGAAGAGAAAACATTTAGAGGGTTATACCGTTGGGAGTCCAAGGGACATGATCACTGTGATAGGGTAAATATGAAGGGAAGACACGGCGGCTTTGTGGGCGGAGCCCTTTACTTACCTACCATGGACAAAACGAGGGGTCCTTTCCATATCCTCCCAAATATGTATGAACATGCACGCACGAATTCTCTCATGTTAGTAGTATTCTTTTGTCATTCCTCTTTTGGAAAATTAATATCAGTAATAGAACCGATAATTTAGATCAAATCCAATATCCCAATCCAAATCTGTCCAAAAAAAATTAAAACCAAATTTGGCTATATGAATTTTTTTTAACAGGATAGGATACGTTAAGCTCGACATAAATAAATTGGCCCAAATTAAGCCCAACCCGAATAAACTAACCACCAGAATTTTCCGCTCTATATGTATATAGAATTAGTAATTTTGACCAAGTTCAATGAACCAACTTGAACTGACTAAAAAAGTTAAGACAATGCTTACTTACAGGGGCTTTTTAAAATGGTAGGATACTAAAGTCAAACTAACCGGAATTACCTGCTCTAATCAGTAAAACTAAGGCTAGAAAAACCAGCTCACACACTTTGATCCTTACGCACTGTCATTCCAGAGAAGATTAACATGCATCCTTTGTTGACACCAAAGAAGGAGCTCTGATTGATGCAATAAATACTACAATACATATCTTTACAACAGTTACCACTTATGTCCAATCTCCTATCTGCTGTACAAGACTATACAATAAAGGCCCCACTGTTTATACTCAAACTTTGCGCTCGCAATACAATACATACAGCCTGAATTGTTTTATTCTACTGCATCGTCATTAGTACAGAACAAAGTGATAATAGGCATCGAATTCACACCCAAATATAACATGCAAGAAAGATCTCCGCGCTGTAACTAACATGTGCGCATAACCTGCTTTATGTAGTCTCTTGCTTCTAGTCTGAATCTTTGCGCACTAGGCGGCGGCCATGCTTTGCAGCAGTGTAAGTTGATATTGCAGAGCCAGTCACACTCAACGAGTGTTTAGCAAATCCAAAGCTCTTTTTAGTCGCCAACCAAATAGTCCAAAAGAATCCAATCCAGCCTGACTCATTTGTTTCCATGTCCAAGTAACATTACAATGTTATTAAATGAAAACGAAAGCAAATTAAAGCAATTTGTTGCTGAACATGAAAGGGAGAAGATATGTTGCAATTCAGAATGGTCCAAACATCTCCAGAAAGATAGTCTAAATATTTTGTCAAGAGATCTAAAGGAAAGACTCTGAACAGGTAATCAGGTCTATGGCAAATGTCTTGGCTGGTAAGTCTATCCGCATACAAATCAGCTGATATCAACACATTTTATTACAAAAACTCATCATGAGTCCAGTAGGTGTAACATACCTCTCATCATTTAGGTACATGATGGGATCAAATAAAAATCTTACTAACTAGGTAGAATAGGATAACAAATTAGCTTGGTTTAATTTGACAGTGCCTGCCTAATTCAAAATAAAATCAACACCTTCAATTATTCAGTTCAGTTGAAACTAAAATGTTAATTGTTGTTTAGAATCCTAATTAGAGCCACATCTTGTCCAAGAAACATATGCCTTTGACACGATTGAAGCAACTACGTTTTACAGTCCAGCATCTGGTAAAAACCTCCATAATCATGGGATAGCAAATAAGATAAACCAAATACAAGATCTGGCCAATGAAGAGTACAAGGTGGTCAAACAATTTGTTACCTGTGGTTATCAGAATAGCCACAATTGTCCAAAATGTAACGGCGGAAATAGTAAATATGGCTACTGATAATGCTCCAATATATATAGCCGTTACAAAAGCAAAGAAAAGTGCCAAGAATCCTCCTGCTGCTGCCAAGGACATGAGAAGCGAGATGACAATGGCATTTACGGTTGCAGCCAGAAAGAAAAGTGCAAAGACAAGTAGTCCAGTCAGAGCAACACAAGTAATTGTTCCAACCTGCAGCAATTTGGGAAAACAAAACATGCCGATCAAAATCAACAAAAAGAAAGTTATCATGCTCCATGTTCTTCATATGGTGATTGCACAGGAGGAAAAATGTGCTGTCCGCAATTCTTTTGGAGCTGGGAGAGAAAAAAAGCCACATCTTCTTTTCTTTTCCTCTTTTAGACAGGTAGAGAAAATAATTCCTCATAAGCATTATGACTACAGGAGGAATTCCTGATAAGCATTATGATACCCAAAACAACCACTCAAACTTTACACAGACCAAAACATTAATCTTCTTTTCCCACTTAAACACGCATTAGGTGATAAGTAATAACAATCTACCGTGTTTTCAGTGCCATTGATTCCTACCTTGAATTTGAACAAATGCCCTTGAAGCCCTATAGCAGCATTCTTCTCATTATCTTACTGGCACAATATGTGTTATAACTATAACTATTTCTTAGTTCAACGTCAAACAAGACTTTCTGCTTATTCAGAAGTATCAAAACCCTTAATTTGCAAAAGAAGAAATTGACCGAAATTAAGTAGATGCTGTCCTATATCCTGTAATGCCAATGAGCAAAAATACGTTGTCTCCAATATGCTATTCTTCTGCCAACCTTCTTATAAATGTTTAGAGAAGATACCATAAAAATGCCCCAGCATAAGTACATCCGATGAAATTTTAAGAAGCTTATCATGTATAAAAACAAATAAGATCAATATATATGACTAACAAAAAGGATCCAGAATATATCATTTTTAAAAAAGAGAATAATTTAGTATTATCAAAAAGCAAGTCGAAATAAAAAACTAAATAACAACAACAGGAAGCTTTTCAATTAAGTGATGTCGGCTACCAAAATAAAATACTGAAATTAAAACAGAAAAATTGTATTCCCATCTCTTTAACTTCATTGAGGAAGCTTGGAAAAAGGGAAGGCAGAGCATATTCGCGATGGACATTTTTCCTCACATATCCACCTATCCCAATTATAATCGTCATATAACTGAACAGCAGAGTGATAAACAATTTCAAACCTCTTAAATGATCCGTTAAACAGCTATTTCATGAAAAATTGACAAGAGCTGAAAATATGTTGGATTAGGTGTATGAATAGAAGATACCTCTTCTCCTGTCAGATGGTTGTAATCCTCATAAACTTTTCAACTTGTCATAATCTCAAAATATTGGATAATTTTTTTATTTGAGGAGGGGGAAAACCACTCCTGCCTTTCTTACATGCAGGTATTACTATACCGGCAGAATAGGCAGTCCCTTTATGCGTAATTTGTGCACGGACGCTACTACAAATCAGAGGCTTCGCTCGTGAAAAGAATGAATCAAATCAAACAAAGGAAAATACTCTCCAATTTCCCAAAAGAAGAAAGCAGATAAAAAATAGATATGATTGAACTCTAAATCTTCCACTCAGTGATGAATTTTAATCTTTAAAACTTGTAATTTACAGCCGGCACCAGAACAGACACATGAATGCTACCAAAAACTTACGGAGATGACAAGGAGAGCTCGGAGAGGACTACCACGACGTGTCCAGAGAAGAACATCGCGCCCAGTATTTTTACTAGCTTCGGGGATTAGAGGGGCGTTTTTGGAGACGGAGATCTTGATCCGGTTCAGCAAGGGTGCCGCGTTATCCGGTTCAGGGAAAATAATCGAGGTGATCAGACGGTGAAGAACCCCATACAAGGTCTCCCTCTCCCTCTCCCTCTCCCGCATGTGGGGGCCACCGGAGGTCCTGTTGAAGCTCTCGTCTGTGTCTTCTCCAGCTACGTCCCCATAGATTCCATTCCGCTTCTCCGCCATTCTCAGTGTGTGATGGTATTGGAACTTCAGCTCAGTTCAGTCGTGATTTCTGGCTTGCGAGGAATTTTGGCAAGAGAGGAAAAGAAAGAAGGGGTTGTGGGTCCCGTGCTTTAATATGGGCGGTTTTGATTATTATTTTATGTACATCGACAGCACAACGAGTAGGAAACACGTCGGCACGTGACGTGACAGCTCTGCATCCACGTGGCTCATACTCTGGTTGCGTGGAGACGAAAATTTCTCCAATGTTCCCGTCCATTCAACGTCTCAATTTATTCTTTTTTAGTTAATTTGATCTGATGATTAATTTAATTGTCATCTGATCTTGATGCAGGTTACATTAAAAAATTGAAAAAAATTAAATTCAATTAACCGTGCATGTAAATTAATCCCTGAACAAAAGTAAATTTATCTGAAAATATTTCTAAAACTAGTTGAAAAAATTGGCCCATTTGATCGATGAAAAGAACATCAATGACAACTACTCAATTACTGTCATATTCGTTTGTAAAATAACAAAATGTTAATCTGCACACTTTGTGAAGATCAATTTTTTCTTCCTTCTCATTGACAGAAGCCCATAGTGGTGTTGCCTAAAAATAGTGTACGTTTGGTGTGAAGTTCAATAAACAATCATGGCATGGCCCCCAATTGGTTTAGCAAACAAACGATCTGGCATGTCGTTTCCTCGGTCGCTAGATGGTCACTTCGTGATAAAATCTGTAAGGAAAAAATTTTACCCAAATAAATCAAAATGGATCGGAGTGAGAAGCATGGAGAGAATGGACTTTAACTTCAAATCATCTTACCTCCTTTAAAATTTGTATAACCTGATGGAGATTCTCGTTGTTAAGCCCCAAAAGATCCTGATCAGCCCTGAAATGAAATAGATGATGATAGTTTTTAACTTATTGTGGACCTTCACTCATGCTTGATCCAAAATAATTTGAAGATAAGGTGAATCAAAAAGGAAAGGAAAAAAGAAAGTAACAGAGAAGTTTGGTACCTTTCTAACATTTGACAGAGTAGTTGGTGTGCATACTGGGCTTCTTTGAAGTCGTTCCTCAATGGTAAGAAGTTTAGCCAGGCTGGAACCACCTGCTTATCAGTAATGAAATATAGAACGCTATGATTATAATACAGGAATAAAAGGCGTGCCAGAGCTAGCATGTATTTCAACTATCTCACGAAGATACACACATACAGATGCATGTATATATGTATGTATAGGCACCATAAGTATAACTTCAACACCAAAATAGAAAGATTGAAAGATAATGATCAAGTATTCTACTTATTATGTTAATTAGAGTCTCTCATGCACCAAAAATGGACTTCAGAGCAAGCCAGCACCGATATGAAAGAAGCTGCTTTGTATATGCGGTGTCACAAGATATCCCAATTAAAACAAGCAAAGCACATGCAAAGATTAGTTGGTATTTACGTTCAAGACCCAGGCAATATATATAGCAGTATTTGGAAAAAGACTAGAAAAATGATACGCACATGATGGCCGTCAATGGTATCACGCCAGAACTCACATATTTTGCCCAAAGCTGAAACAACGGCATCATATGTCATTGTCCTCTCCGATTCAGTTCCGCTTTCTATTACATAATATAGGCTGTCGATAGCCGCTGCACAAATTAAATTCACCACTCATACATGTTCAATATTTACTCAGGTATTACTTCCCTTCTGTCCTGCAGGTAAGAGTGAAAGGCGGTTACCGGGTGCATCAAAGTTGGATACAAGTCCTCTACGCGTAGCACACAAACCGATTCCACGCGCAGCTTCCTTTAAGTTACATTACCCGAACAGAAATAATGCAGAAAAGTTCGGTCAGTATATAAGTGACAAAGTTAAGATTAGAGCTGGCACATTTTGCAGAATACAAATACCCTTTGAAGCTGGGGACTTTCTGAGTAACAAGCGTGTATGACGACTTGAGCATATGTGTCACGATACCTGGTCGAATAACATAGACGAATGAGTCATGAATATTAAAGGCTTATACTTGAATTCAGATATACTACAGCTTAAACCTTTGCAATATATCTGGGTAGTCCTTCAAAATCAAGTTAAAAATTGAGATTGCCACTATTTTCACTCTATCTGGGTAGTCATTGTCACGACCCCGCGGGAAGAGTTGAATCAAATAAACGGTGGAGAAATTAAATAATCAAAGCTTCATATATGTAAGGTGACCATAAATATTTATAGCAGGATCATTCCGAGAAGAATTGCAAGATGAGCGAGACTAACCCACAGCGCTTCAACTGCTGGAAGAAGCTCGTCAACATGAGTTAAGAACGCAGACTTCAATGTATTGATCATTGTCACAAAGCAGTTTGCACCCTTGAACCGAAAACATAAAACTACAACTTATTGCTCTCTCTCGATAAGCATATAAAGGAAAATCCAGCCGCTCATATGAACAATACATACGCAGAAAACAATATGTTCGACATTGAAAGATTAGTAATTTTACTCACTTGAACTAATTCCTCCTCTTGTTCCAGTTTATCCCTCGCGTCAGGAGCCGATGCTCCTCCTCCAGCTTCATTTTGTAGATCGGCAAATGACTCCTGAGAGAGTACTTGGTATATGTGATCAGCAATCTGCTTGATTACCTCCACACTAAAAACTGATCCAGATATCTGCGCAAGCACAGTGTGTTATATATTCCTTATATATAGAAATATAAGCTCAAGCATGTGTGTTGTGATTTCAGTGGACGTTCCCACGCACCGCAATGCATGCATTGAGGCTTTTTATCATCACTATACCCTTCGATCTTTCGATTTCCTGCAGTGGTTTGAAACTCAAAGTAGTTCAGCTAAAGAAATTGTGCAGCAGTGTGGGTTGATATATATAGAGACCAACGAATGATGCAATAATTTTAACGACGACGATGACCAAATACCTCTTCCAAGGCTTTGACCAGAGCTCGAACAGTGAAGTTAATCAAAGCTCTTTGTGACTCTTTTCTATGTTCGCACGAGAGCAGCACGCTTGGAAGGGCTAGAAACAGAAATTAAGGGAAGCTTATACTTAATTAAATACACAACTCAGCGTTTCAAATAATGTTATTTATTACGATGAAATCATAAATACCCTTAACAGATGCCATTTTAGCATCAAGGTCGTCGTCGACACTACTACTGAGAAAGCGGGTCAAAATAGGAGAAACCTAATCATTGGAAGTCGTAATTAGTCGCAGGGAAATGTCTTTCTATGTCTGCGTATATAGCTGCAAACCAAACCAATTACCCTGGAAGCCCAAGGTTCAAATTGTTCCTGGAATCGAACAGCAAACTTTGAAATTAAATCAATGGCCAAAAGCTTCAGCTGAGGGCAAGTCGGAATTTTCTTAGTAATGGTCAACTTCTACAAAACATCAATATATTGTTAGGAATGCTGGTGCCTGCCAACCTTTTACATATGCCTAAAGCTGACGGCAACAATGATAAAAAGAAAAAAAAAATTAAGGATCTGCTTAGAGCTGAAGGGAATATTTGAAGCCAAACATGTAGGGATCAATATCTTCAAGAGTCGGAATCAACAAAGGCATGATCTCATTAAGAAATTTGTCAGCTTCCAGCCGCGGTAGTCTGCACAACTGGGACAATGCCTGCAACGTGTTAACTAACTTCTTAACCAAGCCCAAAGGAACAAATCATATTAAACTATTTATAGCATAAGCTAAAGCAAATAAAATAAAAATACTAGCTGTGTTGTCCAATGCTCTTCTTGGCTTTTATTTTTTTCTCATAAAATTTTATCTTTTGATTAATTATATATTTTATATCTTTTAAGAGAATTATCATTATATTAAATATGCTTGCGAACATTTAGGCATGCAAACAATTATTTAATTAAATGGTATTGCTGCAAGTATTTTTTAGACAGAATTTAATAACGCAATAATGACCAACAAGGAGTTGGTTATTTTTAAGCATGGTCGTCCTATTATGAAATTCGTCGATTCAAAAGAAAAATATTTCTAATTTTGGTGTCTTACAGATTCAACAAAGCTGTTTTGGCTTCTTTTTTTTTTTTTAGAAAATGTAATTAAATAGAGGACGCGATATATTGATGTTCATGAAAATGACCTTTTGTTTACTGGGATGGTTAGGAAAAACAGAATATACCTTCAAGATGTGAATTTTTAATCTCCGGTCGGTATCCGTCCAATTATTTGCAATTCGAAACACAACTAGAAAAACCTTGAAAGCGTTACAAGTCATATATATTAGATGCCAAAGTAAAATCAAAATACATAAACAAAATTCAACTCAGATTTCTAAGCTAATAACTAATAAGTTACTATATATTTGGTGCAATAGAATCGTATAACTAGAAAAAAAAACAATATTTTTTTTCATCCTTTATGGCCCAATCATTCACTACAAAAATAAATAACTTTTGGTAGTGACTTTTAACGGTGACTGTAAAAAGCTGCCATTAAAAATAAATAATTTGTGACGACAAAAATTGTCACTGTTGAAAGGGAAACTTTTTGTGGCAACAATATATAATTGCCGCTAATTATCAAACTTTTAGTGACGACAAGTGTATGTTACCATCGAAGTTTTAAGTTTTAGCGGCGATCGCTGCTGATTATCAACATATTTTAAAATATATTATAATTTTTTTAATCCAAATTTTACATTTAATACTAGTAACTTTAGAGCTTGATATCAATTTAGATGTTCCCAATTTGATAGCTAATGATGGGAAAGAGAAAGATGAAAAGAAAAAAAATGAGCTATTTTAAAATTTCACTTTTAATTTTTACAATATATGAAATATATTTATGTATGTGATGCTATATGATTTTTTTTGTTTGATGCTATCTCGCAACATAAATATAAAAAAATAGATAATATAGTATATAATTTTCTTATAAAATTATAATTTAAAAATGAAAAATAATTAAAAAAGTAAAGTGTAATATAAAAACAACCCAATTACATTACTTAAGAGTTATTGTTAATTAAAAGTAAAAATAAAATTTTAAATAAAACTAGCTAAAAAAATAAATAGTTATGAACTAATGTATAATCATATATATTTTTACTATTTACTATTAATTTTTAGATATTTTTATATTATAATTATAAATATGAACATTAAAATAAATAATACAAATGATATTGTATCAATTATATTTATAGTTTACTTTAGACAAAATAAATAATATAATTTACAATTTGAATAAATTAAAAGAATTAAATTGAAGTATTTAATGATAGTAATGAGATTTTATAATATTTGCTATTAGTATTTAATGAGTGTACGTGTGTGTTTGTATAATATAATATATATATATATATTTAATTATGCAGTAATAAATTACAGGTTTATTTCAGCTTAGGGGCAAAATAGTGGAATACAAAAGGAAAAGGTCATGATTTTAAATCTTGAAAGAGGTAACTTGTGAAATGAAAATATAAATTGGCGACATGATGATATGTGGCATTAGATGGGGTGACATGGCGCCACAGGGTGTGAGGTTGGGGTGACACATGGAGGGCAACGTGGCACCACATGTAGGAGTGATGTGGCACGACGTGGAGTAGTGATGTAGCGACATGTGGAGGGGTGAGGTGACAACATGTGGTGGTTAAACCAACATTATTTTTCAACAGCGACAAAAAAGTCACTATTAATTGATAGTTTTTGCGACAACATTTACTTAACATTCAGCGGCGACAATTTAGTCGCTATTGATGTGTGGTTTCTGTGGCAATTTTTGTTATCATTAATTCTCAATTTTCAGTAACAACTATCTTTCTACAACAATAAAATTTTTTTTCTGTGGTGACATTTGTTGCTGTTAATTCTTAACTTTCAGTGGTGACTTTTATTATCGCCGTAAATAAAATCAATAACAAGAACTCTCACAGCAACTTTTTGTTGTCGTTGAAAACTTTCAGCGACAACTTTTCAATAAATCATTACTGAAAGTCAATTTTTTTTAGTGATTGTTGTACCTTGCAACTTTACTAATGTAAATTCATGGCAAGAAAGCAAGTAATCAGTTAAATGTATCTAATCATTAATTAACTACAAATAATTTAGCATTAATGACCTCAAGTAAATCATTAATGCAACAATAATTCAAAAATTTAAAGATCTTCATATAAAAGAAGAAATGACGACATACTTTGTCTTTTTTACTTCGCTAATCATATCAACCTTTTTTTTTTTTTTCAATCGAAAGCCACGGGGAGTTACTATAATTCTTGAATCCAATAATTATCTGTTATTGAAATAGCAAGTATATTCTCCAACAGTGATCCTCTGTCCAATAAATATGAAGTGGTAATATAAGGAATATAAATATATATTGAATCCATTTTCAACCCTATTTACAAGATGACGGTTAAAAAAAAAAAAAGGAGTCCTATTTAATTTATAACACGATTTTAATTGAATCACATGGATTAAGAAAAGTGGCTAAAATTAATTTAATAATTTTATCTTTTCCAAAATTATCATAAATGCTTCAAATATTTTGTATAGCAACTCGCAAAAAAGCAATGAAAATTTTATATTTAGGAGTGAAAATGTAATATTTATTATTGAATACAAAAGATTTAAATAAGTGCTCTTCTTATCACTAAGAATTATTAATGATTACGTTAATTAAAAAACATTATTAGTATGTTGTACCAAAAAAAAATGATAGTAGTGGTTACCTCTCCAGCATTTTTTAAAAGAGACAGAGCAGAGTGGTCCCAGAGAAACGCTGAGAAAATATAACTCAAGGATTCTATGGATTTTGCCCCAAGCAATAATTGAGATATAAGCGGTTTCAAGGAATCTACTGTCTCCTGATAGTACTTGCGTAAAACAACCTGCACCCCACAATACAATACGCATTTCAAGTTTTATTTGATAAGTAATCACCAACATGAGGCTTCCACAATTTGACTTTGAGCTATATATACATATACCGAAAATGATACTGCCAATGGTCTCAGAGTTTCCGTAGCTTCTTCCCGGAACTTCCCTCCTCGCTGCAGGTGGTTATTTGCATAAAACTGTGAATATTCCAGAAAAAAATATATTTGATGGGGCCAAGTTCCCATAAATATCCATTATGCGTAGTTCTCACACACGTATATATACCTTTAGAAATTTTAGCAATTCAGGCACCAGATCTTCCGAGAACGACTTCACTTCTTCATCGCCGCAATATTTAATCAAGCGACCAGTTACTATAACAGCATGCAACTGAGACCATATGTATAAATTCACACCTAAAAACAAGTTAGTTACTACATAGTGTAGGTATGTTATGAATGCATGCAAAGATGGCAAGCTCCACTTGGTGTCTGTTTATACCTGCAAACGGGGATAAATTGAAGCTGATCTAATTATGGCGACTAGTCTCGGGACGAACTTATTTAGATATCGGACATGCTTTTGATCGGAGTCTGAAGTTAGACATATAATTGCATCAATCGCAGCCCAAAGAACGCGAGGGTGGGCATCAGTCAGCGAGATCTCTAGCACCCTCTCAGCATGGTCACATATCATTTCCTACATGGCAGCCATGGAGAAATTAAGAAAATGATTACAGAGAAGATGGAGGGACGATAAGAAGACAAAAAATTTGCGAAAACAGGGAAAAGATGAGATTACGGGCCGGCCACATGCGCTTACAGTTGCAGCGAAGACAATCAGTCCTGCGTGACGAACCTGCCAATTTTCAGAAATCAAATACTGTGGTACCATCTCAAATCCAATGGAAAGTGGTATGTCTTCGGGTGAATGCCAGCAGACCCGGAACAATAAGAACTTTCCTAGGCGATACTTCTCTGAGATCCCCATATATCCACTCGATGTACTCTCTACATCATACCAAGCAGGAACATCTGCGATACAAAGCAGCAAGCGCACGCAATTCTGGAAAATACTGCATCTAGCCTCCGCAGAAAGTTCAACAAGAAACTCTGAAACTCGCCTCAAAGCCTGTTCATCGAGCATCTTAATATTTTAATCGCTTGGAACGTGAGAAAAATGTTGCCATCTGCAGTCACGGCAATTCGGAACATGCAGTCCAAGACAACATCAAGTTGCATCAAAAAACGGTCCGTATGATATCTAGCCAATTCCACCAAATCCATTATTCTTGGTTCCACGATATGGGTTCGACCGTCCAAGTGAAATGCTCGCAGGAAGGAAATCATCTTTGGTAATAGGACATCGATTTCGCTGTAAAACCTCCATCGGTGCAGCAGGCGTACCAATTTAACGGAGGCATCGAATGTCAGAGCCTGGATGTTGAGATTGGGGGAATCAAATAGCTCGCCGAATCTAACGTTAAGCGACTTATGGTTGGCCCACCAAAATATGTATGCCCCGAGACACTCTTCCCTCGACTCGGGCAAAGTCGATAACACCCTGAGTGCCATTTCTTGCCTTGTTTCGAAGTTCGTGTTAAGGGCGTGTAAAAGATAGTCAAGAAGTTCACCCCACCTCTCGATTTCAAATATCCTGGCGGCTATTTCAGATAAATTCAGAAGGTAAGGTAATGATTCGTGGTTGTGGATAGCGTTAAGAAGCAGGGGTTTGAGATGGAAAAGGACGCGTTTATCAATTATAAACCGATCTTGGCCGTGAATCTTATTTAGAGCATGGTGGAGCAGATCAACGGTGAAGATTCCAACACCAGAGGGAAGACGCGAGTTGAGGAGGCGAGCGAGCATGAGAGATAAAGCATTTGGATATCGACGGGCAAGGAACTCCCAGAGAGCCTTAACTTGTGATGGTGCGTTCTGATTTATAACGGTGGAGTTAGCGAAGTCGCAGACGAGAGATAGGAAGCGCTTCGGGTTATTGGAAAGGAAAAGCTCAACGGCCGCGGAATGGAGCTCATCTTTCTCAGCTTTACTGAGTTCTTGATGATCTTGGACCAATTTGTGCCTTCTCTTGGCTTCTTTACTCGACTCAGGAGGAACCTCATCTGGCACTTCATATATATCTTTCCCGTGTCTACGCTGGTGCTTTTTTCTGAATAACTTGACATCCTCTGACTCTGATTCTGGTGGGACTTCCTCTGACTCTGGTACTTGTTTGCGTCGACGATTCACACGACGTGGAGGAGGCGGTGGTGGTGACGGAGGCCGTGAGGAACGTTCAATACCAGAATTGGATGGCATTGTCGGGAAGTTCTGTGAGTTGGAGGGTGAGAAAGGAAGAAGGAAGGCAGGGGGGAAGATTTTGAATATTGGGTTTAAGATGTTTGGCTTGAAATCTCATGCACATACTGACTCAAATTCCGTTACGACTGTTAGTGACATCAGCATTTCTCTCTAGCCTTTCCCATTTTTCCCATTTAGGATGGACCGTGGGCTTGGCTTCGTTCATTCCTATAGGTCAAGGTGGCTATGAATGATAATACACTTACTGTCCAACTCCAACCGGTCCATAATATTTCTGGCATTTTGAACTTGCTGCGCAGTGAGAGGGTAATCAACCAGGTATATATAACTACGCCGTGGGATCTAAGATTTAAGGTTTATTTTCAACGAAAAAAAAATATTAATATAGAGTTTTCAAATCTTTTATGATTGCACAACTACATGTCGTATTTAAATGATTTTGAAAGAGGTGGAAAACGCTTCAACATTTTTTTGTTTATTGAAAAGTAAAATTTGTGCCACTATTTTTACTAACCTAGTTTTCTACATAGTAAAATAAATCATCAGTAAATTCATTCATGCATCTCTCTCTAGGAGATCTGTTCATTCAAAATCGGGTTGATGAAGTGCGATTCTATCTTGAAAGCTTTAAAAAGGCACAAGTGACATCCTTAAGTTTTTAATGACACAATGTTCCCTCTAACATTTGGAAATTAAAATATCGCAATGTCAACACAATGTTCCGTCTATGTGATCTCTTTCTTTCTGCTAAAGCTTCGACTGAACAAATGGAGGTCATGAAAAATATTATGCAAAAGTTTCTGCTTTATTTCAGAGCACATGATTGACCTGGATAAGTCTAAAATATCTTGCTCTAGAAATGTTCATTTTGCTGGAAGGCAAGAGCTTAGTCAGATATCGGGGATTGGTTTATTAGCCGATCTTGGAAAATATTTAGGTGTGCCTATCTTCCACTCCAGCATTACAAAGAACACTTTCAATCCAATAATCTAGAAGGTCAAGAAATGCCTTTCTCTTTGGAAGAGCAAGTTCCTAAATCAAGCAGGCAAAATAGTCCTGATCAAAGTAGTCTTATCTGCGTTACCTAGCTATCAGATGCAATCGGTTCATATTCCCAAAGGAGTACTTGATGTAGTCAAGAAAATAGGAAGGAACTTTTTGTGGACTTATGATGAGGAGTCTAAAAAAATGCATTTAATCTCCTGGGAATAGATTACCAAAAGTAAGAATGAGGGAGGGCTAAGTATAAAAAAGCTGAGATGTCAGAATGAAGCCTTCATGTTAAAACTATGACGGGGTTTTTTGGTGACCAAACTTGAGGCATTATCGGTCAAATGTCTCAAGGTTGAATATGGTTGCGTAAGTGGCAGCATTCTAGCTATTGGAAAGTATGCCTATGCATCTTTAACTTGGCATTCTATTGCTATTATTTGGGACTCCTTTCTGAAAAGACTTGGGAAGAAAGTGAATAATGATGCATCTACTAGTTTTTAGTGAGATTTGTGGATACCACTTGACCAGCCTCTTGTGTCTTATGTAATTAAATCTTGCACTTTTAACTCACATGATAAATTTTAGGACCACATTCTACCTAGTGGACAATGGAACTATGCAGGATGAAGCGACCTTTTTTCTCAGAGAATATCTCTCTCTTAAGGTCAACTAAACCACCTTCTTCTATTGAAGATGACACCTTGAGGTGGAGACCAGCAATGGATGAAATTTTTTCTATTCACAGTGCCTATAATTTCCTAACTCACAGTGAAGAGGTTAGGAACTAGCCTTTATGGGAGAAATTATGGAAGTGAAATATTCCTGAAAAGGTCAAACTTTTTATGTGACAAGTTTCCCACCAAGGATTAGTTACAAACTCACTTAGAGTAAAGAGAGAAATTTCAAACACTGAGTTGCCATTTTGAGTATAATAGTAAGGAAAATGTTATCCATATCTTGAAAGGTTGTGAGAGTGCCAAATCAGTGTGGTCACTTATTTTAAAAATTAACAATCTTTCAAGTTTTTTCAATGGAAATTTATAGGTTTGGCTAAGCTGGAACTTGAAGTATGACTAGGAAAAGGAAGATTTGGAATGTGGTTGTGGATGAGAGTTTTTATTCTAGTGTGTTGGACTCTATGGAGTTCAAGATGCAGATTTATTTTTTAGGGCCAAATTACACGTACAAATGAGATCTATCATCAATGCCTCCGTCTTCTCATGGAAAGCACTATTAGGAATGAACTTCGACACAAGATTTTTTATGGATTGCATAAACAAGAATCAAGTTGGACAGCTCCGCTAACAAATGTCATTCACATAGATGTTGATGGATTTGTCCTTAGGGATCATCAAGCATCATGTGGGGGGCACTATAGAATTTTGTAGGGGATTGGATCATAGGTTTTCAATAGGCTTTAGGTTTATTCACTATGATTGAAGTAGAACTTAGTGCAATCTAGGACTCTTTGTGTCTAAATAGCTCGGTCTTACCAAGATTCAGATTTACTTCAATTCATTTGAGGCACTGAACCAATTGAAGAGAGATTATCTAGTCGATCATCCATTGCGAAGTGAGCTTAATGGAATTTGTGACTTACTCTATACAAATTGGGAAGCTGATCTTCATTATACTAGAAAGGAAAACATCACATGTGCTGATTTTTTGGCAAGAATTGGTCATGATGCTTACAATGGGATCTTGATGATTCCAACAATTCCTACTGCTGCTTGGATCAATACCTTAAGGACAAATTCCAAGTTGAGTTTAAGTTTTTAGTTGGATTTTGTGATTAGGAGCTTCTCTTATAGTTTTTCTTTTCAAGCTTTTGCTTGTCTCTATTTCACTAAAAAAAAAAACATTAGATGGGCCCCACACATTGAAGCCACATGACATGGGTCCCTTTTCAATGTGTTTGATTTAGATGGCCTAAATTTTTTATATTTATATTTATATTATTAAAATATATGTTTATAAATTTTTTAATAAATATATTTATCATCAACCTAAACAATACATATTTAATTTAGGTGAACTATTTTAATATTTCTTTTTTTGTAAGTTTTATAATTTGACTACTTAAATGTATTTTAGTTCATATTTAATATTAAAATTTTTTATAATTTTTATTCTGATAAATAAAATATTAAAAATAAAGAGAATTCTTTGATGGGCAATTTTTAAAAATTATTTTTTAAAATTATTAGAATTTAAAAAATTTTAAATCTGAACTATCCAAAATAAATCTAGATAGCAAATTTATAAAAATTATCAAAATATCTTACGTTAAATTAGTCATGAAGAGGAATAGATTTGTATAATTTTTTTATAATTTTCATAATATTTTATTTTAATAAATATAAATATAAAATTTAAATTTAGATCATCTAGATAAAAAATTTGGACAGTCTATATTTCATTATCCTGACAAACCTTCAAGATTGAAGGTTTAATGAGTTTCCAAATCATGAGTAGGAATGTTTCTGGTGTTTTTCAAGTGTTGTTTGTGGTTTAGTGTGAGTTAAGGATATACTTGAATAAGGATACTTATCTATCATGATCAGTTATTACTTTATTTTACCATGATATTAGATTATTTTCAATAAAATAAGATATTAAGATATCCTACTAGCATTTTTTTAAAATTTAAATTATATCTAAGATTTGAATTTAAATTATTATTATTATATTGTTTTAAGACTCTCGATATAACTAGAGTTCTCAGTTCTGTTCAGTTTTGATTGTATACTGAATAAAAATGTTCTAGAATATTGGCCTTTCCCCGTCTTCTTGAGAGGCAGCTCTGGTTGCATCATGGTGGTTTAAAAATCTCTTAAACGTTTGAGGGCAGGAGGGATGTTTGTGTTGATCAGAATTGTTGCGCCATGGATCGAATTGCATTTTTACCTTTTGATTTGCACAGGATTTATAGAGGTTGATGGAAGTGTTATTTATTTCGTTAAAGTTTTTGGTCTGCTTTTAAATTATATTTCTATTGAAATTAAATGCTTAGATGAGTTAATTAAAACTCACATATGATAAGTTGATGTAATATAGAGTAACTTAATTAGACTGGCCGGGTTTCGGGGAATTTCAACTTCTCTGAATATATTTCTAACGTTGTTTGAGAAATTCGGCCTCAATGTAAAATGACCCAACTGACGAAGAGAAAATCAATGACAACTACCCAACTAGTGTCTTATTCATTTTTACAATAACATAATGTTAATCTATGCACGTTGAGAAGATCACTCTTCTCTTAATCCCTCTCTCATAGACAGTCGCGAATAGCAGCTGAAAATAGTGTTTGGTTTGCAGTTCAATAAACGATCATGACAAAGCCCCAAATTGGCTCAGCAAAGAAATGATCCGGCATGTCGTTTCCTCAGTTGCAAGATCGTCACTTTGTGATAAAATCTGCGAGGAAAGAAATTTACCCAAATAAATCAAAATCTATTGGAATTCGAAGCAAAGAGAGAATGGAGTTTAACATGAAATCATTACTTCTTCTAGAATTTGAGTAGCCTGACCAAGGTTCTCGTTGTTAAGCCCCAAGAGATCCTGATCAGCCCTAAAACGAAATAGAAGATGATCGACAATATATAGAGTAGTTTCCAACTTACTTTCGAAGATAATGGATGGGACTCGAAAAATGGGGGCCAAAAAAAAAAAACCAGAGAGAGAACTTCGGTACCTTTCTAACATTTGACAGAGTAGTTGGTGTGCATACCGGGCTTCTTTGAAGTCGTTCCTCAACGGCAAGAAGTTTAGCCAGACTTGAACCACCTGCTTAGCAGAAACAAAATATAGCATATATTATGACAAAATTAAATAATACAGGGGAAAAAGGCCGCGCCAGAGCTATCTATACATGCAACACGTATATTCAAAAGTAAATACAAGAGCACGTTAGATTGAAAGAAAAATGTTACGTACATGAGACCCGTCGATAGTGTCACGCCAGAACTCACATATTTTTCCCAAAGCTGAAACAGCGGCATCATGTGTCATTACACTCTCCGATTCAGTTCCGCACTCTATTACATAACATAGGCTGTCGACAGCCACTGCACAAAATTCAATCAAACAAGTTTACTTAGCTATTACATCCTTTCTGTATTTGTAAGAGTGTAAGGAGGCTACCGGGGGCATCGAAGTTGGATATAACTTCACAACGAGTAGCACACAAACCAATCCCACGTGCAGCTTCCTATATAATTAGTTACATTGCCCCATGAGAAATGTAGAAAAGCTTATAAGTGACAACAGAACCAGAGCAGCTGGAACATTTTGCAGAAATAAATACCCGGCGAAGCTGAGGACTTTCTGAGTAACAAGCGTCCATGACGACCAGAGCATATGTATCCCGATACCTGATCATCGAGTATAACATAGACGAATGAGTCGTGAGCACTAAAGGCTCGTAATTGAATTCTGATGTATGACAAGTTAAACCTCTGCAATTTATCTGGGTAGTCCTTCAAAATCAAGTTAAAAATCGAGATTGCCACTGCTTTCACTCTATCTGAGTAGTAATTATCACGACTCTGCTGCAAGATGATGAAGAAATAATGATGCTTCATATGTGTAAGTTGAGAATATTAGTAGTCATTATATTTATGCAACAAGTACTTTATAGCATGATCATACAGAGAATAGTAGCAAGATGAGTGTGGGACTGACCCATAGCGCTTCAACAGCTGGCAGAAGCCTGTCAACATGAGTTAAGAACGCATATTCCAATGTAGATATCATTGTCACTAAGCAGTTTGAACCCTTCAACCGAAAACAATATGTTCAATATTGAAACATTATTAGGCCAACAGAAAAAAGAATTTTTACACAGACTTGAATTATCTCGTCTTCCAGTTCCCGTTTATCACATGCGATTGCAACAGACGATGTTTCTTCTCCCTCTTCTGTTTCAATATTGGCAAGTGACTTCTGAGAGAGTACATGGTATATCTGATCCGCAATCGTCCTTATTAGGTCTACATCTAAAACTGTTCCACAGATCTGCACGAGCACATTGTGATATCCGTAATAGAAGAATATAAGCCAAGAATATCTTCATAGATATTTGTGATTTCAACGGACGTTTCCACTTACCACAATGCATGCATTGAGGCTTTTTAACATTACTGTACGATTCACTTTGTCGATTTCCTGCAGTAAATTGAACCTTGCACTGGTTCAGTGAAAGAAATTGGGCAACGACAGTGCGGGTTGAAACAGAGACCAATGAATGTTTTAATAATCTTAACGACCACAACCAAATACCTCTTGTAAAGCTTCGACCAGAGCTCGTACACTGAAGTTAAACAAAAATCTATGACGACCTTCTTTCCAATTATGGCAAGGAAGCAATATGTTTGGAAGGACTAGAAACAGAAATTAAGGGAAGCTTAGCAACCCAATATTTTAAATAATATTATTATGATGGAATCAGAAAATACCTTCAACAGATACGATTTTAGCATCAGGGTCAGTACTGCTGAACAGGCGGGTCAAAAGACGAGCGACCTAATCATTGGAAGTCGTAATCAGTCACAGGAAAAAGTCTCAATCTCTATATTTATCGAAATCAAAGCTATGTATATAAGCATGTATTACGCTGGACGCCCAAGGTTCAAATTCGTCCTCGAATCGAACAGCAAGCTTTGACAGTAAATCACAAGCCAAAAGTCTTAGCTCAGGGCAAGTCGTACTTTGCTGATCGGTGGTCAGCGCCCTACAAAACAGATATATTGTTATGAATGATGGTGGCCGCTATGCTCAAAGTAGCTAGACGGCAACAATGTTGAAAAAAAGAATTCACGTAGAGCTGAAGGGAAGATTAGAAGCCAAACATGGTATAGGGATTAGTATTTTCAAGGGTCTGAATCAACATTGGCATGATCATGTTAAGAAATTTGTCAGCTTCCAGCTGCTTTAGTTTGCACAATTGAGACAATGCCTGCATCGCGTTGATAATACATGTAAGGAAGAAATCATTGGACTAGTTATAGCCTGAGCTATTGAAAATAAAACAAAAATCTAGCTATATGTTGTGAGAACTGCTCTTCCTGGCTTTTATTTGTTCTTAACGAAATTATCTTTTGATTAATTATATATTTTAATGAGAGAATAACCAATTATTCATTATATTAAATATATTGCTAGGAAGAATGTTAACATGAATATTTTAGTATTTGTGAATACAAATATCCAAGCATACAAGCAATATCATTCAACTGTTTTTGATGCAAGTATTGTTTTAGAAAGAATTTAATGAAGCAGATAATGATCACCGAGGAGTTAGTTGATCATTTCTAAGCAAAGCCATCCTACTATGAATTTCGTCAAATGAAAAATAATATTTTTAATTTCAGCGTCTCTTAGTCTTGGTGGAGAAAAAAATAAGAAAGGAAAACTATAAGGAAGAGCTTTCAAGAATAATAAATTTTTTTATTATTTTTAACAAACTTTTCCTTCTAATTTTCTTTTCATTCTTTTTTTTTTCACTTTTCTCTGGATTTAAACCAAGTTTTAGATTCACAAAATACCGATTGAGGTAAAAAAAAATGGAATGATATTTTGAAATACATAAAAATGACCTCTTTATTTACTGGGTCGAGAGGAGAAACAGAATATACCTTTAAGACGTCAATTTTTGCTCTGCTGTCGGTACCATTCCAATTATTTGCAATTCGAGTCAAAATGAGGAAAACCTTCAAAGGCGTACAAGTCATATACATTAGAAGCCAAACTAAAATCAAAGTAGATAAACAACATTTAACTCAGATTTCCAAGCTAAGTGACCAAACACACGGGGTTCATTAAAATTATAACTAGAAAAAATATATTTATCTAATTTTCATCCTTGACTGCCCATAATCATTTTTGAAACAAGCAACTTTGCTAAAGCAACATTATAATAGAAAGAAGAAAATAATCAGTCAAGTGTACACAATTATGTGTTTTTAAATATATTTAGATAAAAGGAGAGAAATGACATGCAGACAGAAGAGAGATGGTAATGTAAAAAGACATAAATCTATATTGAAATCATTTTCCTTTTATCAATATTTACTTTTATTTTTATCCCTCCTTAATTAAATACACTTTAACCACACATTTATAAAAGTTGTTAGTAACAATTATTTTAGCGGTTTTAGTTTTTTTCAAGAACAATCAACAACGTTTTGAATTTACCCCTAATCAAAGCCATTAAATTAAATTATGTGTATGTCACGTGATTCTCTCTTCTTCTTCTTCTTCTTTCTTCTTCTTCTTTTTTGCATAAAAAAAATGTTGGAAAGTATTTTATAATTAGGAGTGAAAATGCAAGTATATATTATTGAATACAGAAGATTTTTTATAGATCAACGCTCGCTTCTTCCCTTAACGCTAAGAATTATTATTGATTACCTCTTGAGAATCATTTAAAACAAAAAGAGACTCGTCCGAGAGAATTCCGGAGAGAATATAACTCAAGTATTCCATAGATTGTGCCCCAAACAAGGATTGAGACACAAGGTCTCTCAGCGAATCCATTGTTTCCTGATAGTGCCTTCGAAAAATGACCTGCACCCAACAAATTGACGCATTGAAGTTTTATGGGATAAATAAAACCCACATCGATTCATCATCATGGTTCGACGCCATTTGAGCCTGAGGTGTATGTCCTGATATACCGGAAATGATGCTGCCAATAATTTCAGTGTTTCAATAGCTTCTTCACGGAACACCCCGCCTTGCTGCATAAAGAGGTTATTTACATAAAACTGTGAATACTAGAGAAAATATATATATATATATATTTGATGTAGCCAATGATTTCCCAAAAATACCCATGCCTAGTCATCTATACCTTAACAAATTTTAGCAATTCAGGCTCCAAACATTCCGCGAATGACTTCACTTCTTCATCGCCGCAATTGTTAATCAAGCGACGAACTACTGTAGCAGCATGCAACTGCAGATTACACACACACACACACACACACATTGATGTATAGGCAAGTTAGCGACTATTGTAGCTATGTAATGCAGATCTGTACGTAGGAAATTCTAAGAACGAGGATATAATACTTAATCTCACACGGAAATTCGATCTTAAGGATACAGGTAATATTAATTTGGGTGCAAAGATAGCAAACTCCTGTTGGTGTCTGTTTATACCTGAATACGTGGATAAATGGAAGCTGATCTAATTATGGTGACTAGTCTAGGGACGAAGTTATTTAGATATCGGACATGCTCTTGATCAGAGTCTGTAGTTAAACATCTAATTACTTCAATGGCAGCCCACAGAACGCGGGGGTGGGGATCAGTCAGCGAAATCTCTAGCACTCTCTCAGCATGGTCACGTATCATCGCCTGCGTGGCAGCCGTAGAGAAATATAGAAAGTGATTAGAGAGAGATGGAGAGACGATAAGAAGACAAAAATAAAGGAAATAGTTAAACATATATTCCTAAATTTATTGATCAGAAAGCTAAAATATGCAATGCATATAGATCTTTAGGAGCTAAAGGAATTGCGACTTTCTTAAACTATAATAACTCTTCAAAGTTAAAACGATCGCAGGGAAAAGATTAGATTACGGGGCTACATGCGCTTCCAGTTTCAGCAAAGGCAACCAATCCTGCATGACGTGTCTGCCAATCTTCAGAATTCAAATACTGTGGTATCAACTCAATTCCAAAGGAAAGTAGCATGTCTTCGTGTGAATCCCAGCAGAGCCGGAAAAGTAAGAACTTTCCTAGGCTGTACTTCTCTGAGATCCCCATATATTCACTCGAAGTCATGTCCACATCATACCAAGCAGGAACGTCTGCAATACAAACCAGCAAGCGCACGCAATTCTTGAAAATACTGCGTTTAGCCTCCTCAGAAAGTTTAACAAGAAACTCTGAAACCTGGTCCACAGCCTGGTCATCGACCATCTTAATAATTTTAATCGCCTGCAACGTGAGAAAAGTGTTGTCATCTGCAGTCACCGCAATTCGGAACATGCAGTCCAAGACAACATCAAGTTGCGTCAAAAAAGGGTCCGTGTAATAACTGGCCAATTCCACCAAATCCATTATTCTTGGTTCCACAATACGGGTTTGACCGTCGACGTGAATTGCTCGCAGGAAGGAAACCATCTTTGGTAATAGGACGTCGATTTCGCTGTAAAACCTCCACCGGTGCAGCAGGCGTACCAATTTAATAGAGGAATCGAATGTCAGAGCCTGGATGTTGAGATTGGGGGAATCAAATAGCTCGCCGAATCTAACGTTAAGCGACTTATGGTTGGCCCACCAAAATTTGTATGCCCCGAGACACTCTTCCCTCGACTCGGGCAAAGTCGATAGCACTCTGAGTGCCATTTCTTGCCTCGTTTCGAAGTTCGTGTCAAGGGCGTGTAAAAGATAGTCAAGAAGTTCGTGCCACCTGTCGATTTCAAATATCCTGGCAGCTATTTCAGATAAATTAAGCAGGTTCGGTATTGATTCGTGGTTCTGAATAACGTTAAGAAGCAGGGGTTTGAGATGGAAAAGGACACGTTTATCAATTATAAACCGATCTTGACCGTGAATTCGATTTATAGTGAGGTGAAGCAGATCAACGGTGTACATTACGGTATTAGAGGGAAGACGCGAGTTGAGGAGGCGAGCGAGCATGAGAGATAAAGCATTTGGGTATTGATGGGCAAAGAAATTCCAGAGGGCCTTAACTTGTGATTGTGGGTTCTGATGAAAAACGGACGAGCTAGCGAAGTCGCAGACGAGAGATAGAAAGCGCATCGGATTATTGGAAAGGAAAAGCTCAACGGCCGCGGATTGGAGCTCATCTTTCTCAGCTTTACTGAGTTCTTGATGATCTTGGACCAAGTTGCGCCTTCTCTTGGCTTCTTTACTCGACTCAGGAGGAACCTCATCTGGCACTTCATATATATCTTTCCCGTGTCTACGCTGGTACTTTTTTCTGAATAAATTGACTTCCCCTGACTCTGTTTCTTGTGAGACTTCCTCTGACTCTGATACTTTTTTGCGTCGACGCCTCACACGACGAGGAGGAGGTGGTGGTGGAGACGGCGGCCGTGGGGGACGTTTACTACCAGAATTGGACGGCATTGTCGGAAAGTTCTGTGAGTTGGAGGGTGAGAAAGGAAGAAGGTATAGGGGGGAAATTTTGAATATTGTGCTTAAGATGTTCGGATTGGAATCTCATGCACATGCAAACTCAAATTCCGTTACGACAGTTACTGATGTCAGCATTTCTCTCTCGTCTTGCCCTTTGGATCGTGGGGTATTGGTCAAGGTGGTTTTGAATGATACACTAAATGACTTAACTGTCCTACCCGTGTAGCCGATTAGCCCTTTAAGGCCTTAGTTTCTAACAAGTTCGTCTGAAAGCAAAGTGATTTTTTTGCCAAAATTTGCACCATTTCGGGAGTAAAGTCTTTAAAGGTAGGCCCCAGTAAAAGGTAATTTTCAAATTTTGAAGGGAGATATTTCTACACATTTTGTACATGTGCAGAGAAAGAGAAGTCCACCAGGTATATCCAACTATGTCGTTGGATCTAAGATATGAGTTTTTTTTTTTTTTACGTAAAAAATATCAATATAAAATTTTCAAATCTTATATTGTTATATAATAAGTGCATATTTTATAATTAAACTTAAATAGACATTTATTTTGGTTTACATTTGATTAAATTTATTAAAATTTTATATCTATTTAATTGATATTTATATATTTTCTCTTATCACTTAATTATAAGATAAAAAGAAATCTTTGTCATAAAATATCAAAATCTACTTATATCCTTTTATTTTTATATTTTGTGCAGGAAAATAGGAAAAGAATAATGAAAAGAAATATACACACACAAAGGAGAAGCAGCATATCCATAATTATGAAAACAAATATATATATATATATATAAATTATTTGGTTGGAGATTTAGAGAAGATGATATTAACAAGCTGGGGTGCATTCTATACTTGATTTTCAAGAGAAGATCTCGCATTTGGAAGTGATTTTTTACCATATTATTTCTCTAACCTTATTTATAAATCACTTTCAATATATTTTATCAGTATAAAAAAAATTTAAAATTCATTAACTTTATCTTAAAATTTAATAAATTTTTAACTTGACCCTTATTAAATATACACACTTTAATAATATATTTTCTCCTTCCAACATTCAATGGAAGATAAAAAAAATTATGATAAAAATTTAATGATGTAACTTATAAATAAGATCAAAAAATTTCTCTCTATCCTATAAATAAGAGCAGAGGGAGTATAATTTATACTCCTCTAGTCCTCTTTATAACTCATTTCTATTAATATCATCAATATCAATGCAAAAAAAGTATAAGGAATAAAAGTGTGTAGAATTTCAAATATGCCCCTATATAACAAATTTAAAAAGTAATGTCATGTTACTTTTTCTCTCTTATAAAGGGTAATTTTAAAAATACCTTTGAAATATTACCTAAAAAGCTGCACCATAATTTATAAATGAAATCAAATGAACCTTCTAAAAGGTTCCTTATAGATGGTATCAGAGAGAGTGTATTGAAATCCCACATCAATTATGAAAAGAAAAGAGAAGCTTCTAGTTAAACTAATACTCCTCTCTATCAAGAGGAAGACATCAAATCTCCCTTCTAACATTTATGATAAGGGATACTACAAGGTTTATAAGAATCTTTTAAATTGGGGGCTTTCTTTCTTCTCTTCTTCTTTAGATTCTTTTTTTATATTTATCTAATATTGTAGTTTTGACTTTGAGTTTTTGCTAAACTCCCAACCAAAGTCAGGGAATAGCTTGACTAGGATGAATTTGCTCTTTTATTTAGTTATTTTATTTTTCTCGTTGAACATTGATTTTTATCTTCGAGAATTTATGCTTGCTTTAACATTTATCTCTATGTTTTAATTACTCTTATATAAACATTAGTTATATAGATTTTTAGTTGGTAGTCTAATGAATTAAAAGGTAAAAAACTTACCTAGACCTAAAAAAATAGACACATATAACTAAATTATGAATAATTGAGAAGTTTGTGGTGGTTTAAATGACAGCTTCATGATTTAGTTAGAAGGTAAAATTTAAAACAATCCATCTTGATAGGTGAATCATGATCCCTTGGCATTCTGTTAATTTTTTTTTTATTGGCTTTTCTACGTTGTGAAATAAACCATCAGTGAATTTATTTATGCATCTATCTCTTGTCCACTTTTAAATTATTTTTAAATGCAATTAGATCCTTTGATTTCTTAATTAAAGTCACTTTGATAAGTTGATGAAAAACAAAGCTAATAATATCAGCCAATCTGCAAGTTGTGAGTTGGCCAGCAATGGGTAGGGTCGATAATTTGAGTCTAATCCAACGAGCTAGCTTGAACCCGTCTAAAAAAATTTAAAACCAAGCTTAAAAAAATATGATTTTTTATGTTTGGAAAAATTCAGGCCAAGCCCATTTGGGTTAAGGCTTGGCCCTAATACCTAAATAAAAAATATTTATTTTTAAAATATATATAATATAATACTTTCTCTGTTCAAAATGTAAGACATTTTTAGTCTTTCGAGATGTAATTATTATCTTTTTTAAAAGTGCTCATGTTGATAAATGACTTTATAATTATTGTAAGATGTTTAATAGGGATAAATATAAAAAGATAGGGTTAGTTTGAAAGTAGGTAACTATTTTATTGAGGTGAGATTTGGTTAAAAATACTTTATATTATTGAATGGAGGGAGTAAATATTAATTAATTCTTTAAGTTTTAGATTAGTTTATTTAAAATATTATTTATTTGAGTCATATATATTGTTTAAGTATAAAAAATATATTTTTTATAAAATAAAATAAGTAATTTTAAATTAAAAATTAATTAAAAATAAATTTTAAAATAAAATTCAAATATTCGAGCTGTCCAAAATCAAAAGAATTCAAACCAAATTTGACTATTCAAACTTCTCAAAGAGTCGAGTTATTCAGGTATTTCGACCCTACCCCTTGAATTCCCAACTTTAGCGATGGGTTGTATACTTTGGTGAGATAGGTTGGTGTAACCTGCATGTAATTCTGCCAACACGTGGCTAGTTGGCAAGCCAACCTGCATAGAAAAATATTTTTATAACTTTTTTCAATTTGAAAGTTACAAATTCACTTCTTTTTTTTTTGCTATAAAAAATCATATATTTTCTCTAAAATCTAATTATTCAAATAACAATAAAAGTCTTTCTAATCACTATACTTATATTACCACTTAAATATAAATTCATTTAATTTTGTGATTCTTTAGTTATCTTATCTTTGCACTTTATGCAAGTTTCTTTTTTTCAAATTCACAATTTCTTTTTGTGTTTTGCTTAGATTTTAGAATTCTTCAACATTGAAAGAACATAAATGACTAGGTCCAATTAATTACTGAAAATGATTGGTAATTTTTAAATCAAATCTTTATATGGACAAAACAAAAATATAATACTATGATTTGAGATATTTAACTTATATACAAGTGGTGTGTTTTTATTATTTTATGTCATAATTCAAACTTAAATTAAACAAATGTATAAGGGTCAGCTGCTTAAATTGTAATTCCATGGATGCTTACTTTGAATGCTTTTTTTTAAATTAAATCTCATTTATTTATTTTTTGTTTTTTGTTTTTAAATATAAGAGGGCTAACTACGAGTTCAAGCGGCTTAAGTTAATACTGCCCTGCATCTAAACGAACCTATTTTTTAACCCAGACCGTCACCTTTTTGTGGGACATGTTATCGGCTCTACAAATAAACAGTGGCTTCATTCTAGTGGATTCCGAATATCTGCATCAAACCAAAAACGGAGGTTTCAGCCGGTGATAATTTTTTTCAGCATACTCAAGCACCGCTTTTGATTGTTAGAGTTGGAAGGATTTGCGGCTTTCAACAGTTGAGTAAAATACAATCTTTTCACAAAAAAGAAGTTAAAGGACCAGTTCCATTTAAGTCTCATTGCTATTGAATGGTAACTAACTGTAAATATACTGAAATCTGATGAAGGTTTGAGCGCGTGGGCGCATGTGTGTGCGTAATACCAAGTTAGTAATTGCAAACAATGTGGCCTAAATGGGAAATTGGTAAAGGGACGTCAGTGGCTAGAGGCCTGAGGACGTATATCACTTCACAATGGGATAGATTGTGCATGCACCTGTGTCTTTTCCTAGCTTAGTTTTTAGCTTGTAGTAGGTTTTTTCCTTGTTTGCTTTCAAGCACTGTTCTTGCCTGTACTATTCCCAAAAAAAAAAAAAATAGCGTGCATGCACCCATTTATAACTTTCAGTTATTTCCTTCCTCTTCTTTTTAATCCTACGAGCAGGTTTTCATATGAAATCTGCAATTTCTTGGAAACAAACTCAACACACACAGGCACGGTGTGATAGAGTATAAAGAGGCGACTGCTCCCCGATTTGGAGGAATGTGGAAGCCAAACAACAATTCAACGCTCCTGTTTTAAATATTTCTTTTCTTTCTTTTCCGAGCAGCAAAGCATCGTATTCAGATCAGCGAGAGGTTACGTTAGGGGTCCCCCTCCTCAGACCCAATCACAAAAAGGAAAGGAAGGATAATGTAGATGCATGAACACCCGGACGCGAGACGTCCAGTCTTCCGCGGACTTCCTGATGAAATCAAGCCATCCCACTTCACATCACTTTATACTGTTCCATCCACTCCGTCTACACTCTAAAACCCCACATGGTTGATATCGAATCATTAATCAATATGAATGTCGTCATTCGACCAAGTTGCATTAACAACGCAAGGCTATGTGAACGGCTGAGAACAGAAATGGTTTGTGCATTGTACACATTAAATGAAAAAGTCTCTACATTCTTTTACGTCAAAAGCAAAATTCTCACTATTTTAATGTAATCTTGGAGGCTGTTCAGTTCCAAAATCGATGGCACATGGAAGCCATGGAGCAAAGCAACTTCTCAACAATTACAATTGACATTGCCAGATCCATCTTTGCCGCGAGCTCACTCCAAAGAAATACCTTTATCCCAACAATAGCTCTCAATTCTCACATCCCCATGCCCCAAAACAGTGTACAGTCTTGGTATCTTCTTGACGGGCTTATTTGAAAAGAGGAAAAAAAGGACAAGCAACTCGCAGGAGTGAATTGAACCCACTCTGGCTATATTCGAGAATGTCCAAATTATGATTCTTCTTCATTTGAATTAATTGTTGGAACAGAACTCCACGCCATCATCATGTATCGGGGTTAACCTGAGTCATGCGATCTGAGACGTGGCAGATCATTTAGCTTCTCCTGCCTTGCAAACCCATGAATTGTTGATGCAACCAGATTAAAGCCCGCGAACTCATTGGATGGTTCTAGTAAGCTTGCATTTGGAAATGAAGATAGTATCTGAATAATTCAAACTACACAGCTTCAAAAGCTCAGCAGATTGTTGTTTCAATATAGGATTGCACCCACTTTGGATGACGAGTAGCAGCTTTGCAGCAAGTCCCGCATCCAGAGCAACGGAAGAGCACTCCTCAGGTGCAAGCTTGCATACAGACCATAGGATCGACAATGCATATTGGGTGCAGTTCTCTGAGATTCTCATCAGGTAATTCACCATATTGGGTATGGTGTTAGAACAGTTCTTCAACGCTACTCTGCCTTCAGGTATCGACGCCAATGCATCTAAAATGGAAAGCGCCAACTCAGAACACTCTGGCTCCAGACCGGATAACAATTCAACTAACTGAGGAACAGCACCAATACTCACTAGCAAATTCCTAACTTCTTTATGCAAGCATAACTTTCTAAGGAGGTTAAGCCCAGGAAATATTCCGTTTGAGTGTCTCTTATCCTTCACAAGCCGCATCAGCCCAACCAAGAGGCTATGGCTTGAAATAATCTCAGAACGAAAATCCTTCTCCTCAATCAATGATTCAATCAGTCGGGTACAATTGATTTTGGTCTCAGTTGAACCCTCGTTCAAAATGTCCACCATTAAAGAAAGCTTAGCAGGTTGCATTAAATTCTTTTTTGATTCAGAATCAAGGGTCAGGCATACAAGTATACCTATGACCTCGCAGCCAACAGCATGGGAAGTAAAAGGACCAAGTAAGGAAGACATTACTGAGACTCCACCTTCATCAACGACTGTCTTGCGGGCAGTGGAGTGAGCAGCCACTACATCATGGAGCTCCTTGAGGGCTTGAACTCGAGCTTGACCCTTCACTTTCTTCAGCGTCTCCACGAGTTCTGACGCCCTCCCCTGCACATCTTCCGATCTCTTCTTCATCAGCAGATACTTCTGAGAAAACCAAGTGTATATCAGACGGTAAAGAGTTGTATTTGGAGTAATGGAATCGTCCCAGAGCTCTTGCATCGTGGTAGGGCAGGTTAGGTGCCCCAAATTGAACCATTTGAGAATGTTGGACCTCTCGTAGGTTTGGCCGGTGCAGAGCGTGACTGGATCTTGCATTGGCTCAAGGGAGATTGGGCAGATAAACACCGAAGGAACTTCGGACAAGTCGAGCTCTTGAATCATCTTCCCCAGATCCAATTTCTCAGCGGCCCCAGCTCCGACAATCCCACCGTCAACGCCACCCAAAACCCCATCCTTGACGGCAGTATCCAGATCTAGAATCTGACCGTCGCCCCCACCGTCGAAGCCAGCAACCACATCACGTTTAGAAGGCTGGTACATCGGCATTTTGGAAACCCTTCGGGAGAAAGACCTAGTCGGAAAATGCAAAGTGGCACACGAAACCCACCCAAAATCTCTACAATGACAGGCACCGGTCAAGGGGCATTACATCGAGTACGCACATGAGCTGTGTGGAAAAGGAAAAGTAGGAAAAGAGGAATAAAACCGGCGAGGCGAGTTCTCATGGGCAATTTACAAGCAACAAAAACTGCTTTATTGTACAAAACCCTCTCCCGTTTCTTTTTCTCCGCTTTATCTGATCTCTTTCAATGGTCAAAAGAATCATTACCATCCTATCTCACATCAGGAACACACAATCAAGCTTCTTTCACTTGATGCTCAAGCTTCAAAAGGGTTAAATCAGTAACCCCTTTAGCAAATCAATAAAGATGCCGAGGAAACCGAAAAAGAATCCAACCCAATCAAAGACCGAACAGTGCGGACAAACACTCCACTAACACAAGCAGATTAACAGAACCAAACAGTCGAAAGACGGAGAGAAAGAACAGAGAGTGGGATCACGAAATCAGGAACCACAGGCGGAATCAGGAGAGCCGGAGATGAAATAACAGGGAGGTCCGTACCACAAGAGGCAAGAGACAGTGGGAGGGAGGGAGCAGCACAGAAAAGCCATCCCTGGCAGCACAGCTCTTCTTTTGGGGCAAGAGAGAAAATTAAATTAATTACGGGTAAAAAAAAACTTAAAAATAAAATACGAAATATTAGATTAGCCCCCATCCTTTATCTTTTTTGTTTGGACTGGAAAAGATAATAACAATAATAATCCAGGTGACCGGGATGCACGGGATGCAGCCGGTTCAGGAGCCCCTCGGCCCGCGCACCACACGTGCAGTCATCACGTATTCACACACCACTCCGCCACTTTGTTTAGCGTTCACTCATCACCCTGCCCCCTTAAAATGACACTCACATCGCAATCCATCATTAACCCCAAAAGATAAATACTAATCACCATAATAATACTGATAATAATAATCTATCCCGGTCAGATATCTAAAATTATTCCTCACGACAAGTTGAAGTTGGTTCGTATTAACCGTCTTTTCATCTCAGTGAAATGTCATTTCCTTAAATAAGAGCGGAATTGCTGGAAATGGTTCGAGGAGGCAAATGAATCTGTCGAATGCGCTCGGGTGAAAACGCATTAAAAAGGAGGTGAGGTGGTGACATTTAAGGTGCAGTTAGATTCATATGAACAGGAAGTGGCACCTATACGATGCGATCGATTAGAAAAATGTATGGCATTTAAGGTGAGTTTGGTTTACAACTTTAAAAGATGTAAACAAAGGTGGTTGGAAATCCTACCACAGCACAGCAACAGCATGTAAGAAAAAAGAAATGAAATTGAATGATAAAGAGATGGGAAAGGAGAGTGTAAAGACGTAAAACTGGGGCTCCCAGGGATTGAAAATTGAATGAATAAAAAAAGAGATTTGGGGTGAGGGACACGAAGCAAGAAAGGGTTGCGGTGGGGTTCACAAAAGTGCAGCCTGGGAAGCCCCACGAGCACCCGGGAACAACCATGCTGGTCCCACTCCTGCGCCCCCCAACCAAATCGAATACCCCAATCCATATATCTGCCCCATTTTCCTCTTTCAAGTTTCAATATTTAATTTAATCGCCTGATTTTTTATAAATAGAAAGAAATTACTTCATAAATCGAAACACTCGCCTTTTTAAAATATATATTTGGGGAAATAATAGAGAGTGGGAAAGAGCCAGCAAAGCAATTGACCGTGACAGGGTTTGCTTTGACTGTACGTATCGGTTTTGCTTATCCGGTCGTTTGCTTTGACCAGCTTTGCAAATGTCGAGTGCACTGCCTTCCCTCCTACCCAATCGGACACCGACACGTGACCCTGCCATCTCTGTCCCCCGGCTTTCCTCACTCCCCACCCTCCTTCCCTTGGAGTATGCTATCACTGTTTCTTTAGCTGCTCTTTATCTTTTAATAATTATTATATCAAATCAATCTTATCACGATTCACAAAGACCAGGCTTTGACTCAACTAATTCAAAAAAAAAAAAAGGTTTTAGGTTGCTTTTTCTTGAGACGGTGGGTTGTAATCAGCGATTTTTTTTTTTAAAAAAAAGGAAAATGAATGGGTTTTGGTTGGATTCGTAAAGCTGCAGTATTAAGGATTGGGCCATATTCTGGTTTGAATTATGTGCGGTGTAGTTTGAAGGTTGTGTCCAGATTGGATCTTTTATAGGTTGGGACTCGGGACAGTCCCATTATTATTGTTATTATAATCATCATATCATTTTGTGGCGTTTTGATAGTATATATTTTAGTGGTCTTCGATCTAGATGGAAATGAAAGCTGGGTGTTGTGAGCGCGAAGTCATTAGTAAAATGAAAATAATGGGGGGAGCCTAAAATCATTGAAAAGAGAAAGAAGTATCTGCTGTGGGGATTCAACTTTCAGAGTCACATGACCAGAACATTATTTTAGGGAAAGGGAGTCACATGATCCGCGTACTTAGTCAGTCATTCTAAGCGATCACTACGAGGATCTCTGTACTATAATAATATTATTCTTGACACAAGCACTCCCCAGCTTAGGGTTAGCCTTCGACATGAACAACACTGATTCCTGTTGTTCTGCCCGGTATATTCTTTTATCCTCCTACTTGCTTCTACGTTCTCCCACACTTCCTTTGCCTTTATTTTTGAAAAAAACAAAAACAAAAAACCCTTTTTCCGTTCGTGTGTTATATTTTTTTATTAAGCTTTTTTTTCCCTGTTCCTTCAGAACTCCATCGAAACAAGAAATGGGTTCAAACAAAAGCACTAGTTAAACAGACATCGTTTTACTACATCTATTTTGCAGCGATTTAAAATATATATGCAAGAGCTGCATCTGCTTAATTTTCGCCCTTATATTTTAAATCTGTTTATACTTGGGAATGTCACATTACAAGTTGCAAACTTTTCTCATCCCGAACTCCATCTTCCCGGTTCTGTGATTTTCATTTCACTTTTAGCTTCCTCGCTCCGATATTGAATCTTCCGTGCTCTTAAACACGGACACGGTGGTGGCTTTCCTTCGATATGGCTTTTCGGTTTTTGTGAGAAAGTAATGTCTAGTAGAACTGGGTTTCTTGTGTCTTTTCCGATTTTAAATTTGGGCCATTCTTGGACATGTTATGAAAGTAAGCCCATCTAATGGATTCACTGATACCAGCCATGTTGAAATAGAATGGCAGCCACGTGGGTCTGCTGAAGACCGAGGGTGGCTCGGATCAAGGACTCTCCCTTCTTTTTCATCTTTTTCTCAATCATCACCCTTCATTAAATTTATAATTAAAATAAATTTATTTAATAAAATAAAATCAATGATAAAAATTAAGACAAAAAGGAAAAATGATAGAAAATAAGGGGAAAGACCCCTCTCCTGAGGGTGGCCATTGACCAGCATTTTCACCATTCCCTACAAATGCCATAATCAAACATATCTGTCACACCAACAGACAGAAGTTAGAGGGAGCCACATTGTTTACAAAAGTCATACATATGCAAAGTTGTCATTGCATGACTTGTTCCTAGAAAAATATATGGAATACATGGTAAGAAAAATGGAAGCGTCCCTTGGGTAGATCCCATGACAGGAGTGGGAGTGGTTTAAAAATTGAAATACAATGACAACTTTTTGTAAAGTTGAAGTTTGCATACTGGAAGGGGATGTATAGAATAATTGGATGGGTGGCCTGGTTTACGAGGGAGGGAGGGAGGGAGGGAGTGAAGGAGGCAGCAAAAAGGTTGCCAACCTAATTTGGGGTAAGGGAAAGAAACAAGAGCAGAAAGAGAGGTAGAGTTACAGAAATGGGGAAGATTAGTGTGTAATGATGAGATGCTACGTGAAAGCAGAAAGTTGTTTGTCTACTCATCGGGGTCCCCACTCCTACTCAATCACACGCACATTCCATGTACCATACTCGGCAATTAATAATTGTGGAAGCAAGTTTGCTTTATTGCACGTTTCATTGGCCATCCCAGCAAGTAATTGAACCTTCGTTTCAACAATGCCTCTTGACAGTGACTCCTCACCTTGTTCTTTCAACTCATGCCGGGTCCTCCTTCTCATCTTCGTGGATATTTATTTGTCCACCTCAAAATTCCCGGACTCTGTTTTCGCAGACACGCACAGTCCTGCAGTGCATGGCATTGTTTTATCAGAGAGCTGAACAATGGTACCGAACCTTCCTGCAAAATGTGTTTCACCAGTGCATGGAAATAAGGAACGGACTTCCCAACACTCGCCCTCCGTACGCACCATCAATATGCCTAGCCAACGTTCTCTCACTGTCTTAATAACAACTAGATGAGCTTGGTGATGATTATTTAGGAAACATTGTTGATTTTTTTTTTCTTTTTTTGTGAATTGAATACTGTTGAAATTATTACACGCAATAATTTATTTTAGTACCGCTGGGTTATTTTCCTTAACAATATACACGCTCACGATTCACAAACATTGAAAGCTGTAATAATTAAGCTGGTGTTCAATTAAAAAAATAAATAGTTAGTGATGATATTCTCTTAACTTTCTGGAGTCAGGATAAGAATATAATATGAACCTTTTACTTGATTATATAATTGGATTCGTTTAACATTATCGTGTTTTAAAATATGCTCAAAATTTATATGGTTTCTCCTCCACCTGCTCCGAAGGCCAAAAGAAAATCCACCCTTTTCATGATTTTATACTCCATTCATTAATTGTTCTAAGAAAATTTATATACTACCTCCATTTAAAAATATAAGATATTTTTTTAGAGGTTAGATATTACAAAATATAAAATAATTTTAATGTTTTAAAATGTAATTCATGTATTTTTTAAGAAATTTCCTTAACAAATAAATTATTTTATATTTTTTTAAAGTAAAACACCATATTAAATGAAAGTAAATATGAAACAATAATGTTAATTGAATTAACTATTTTATTAAAAAATGAGATTTAATTAAAATTTTTTTACATTTTTAAAAGAAGAGAATATACTTGGCATTATAAAACTTTTTATATGTATTTTTTATTTTTATTCACATGAGACATAAATCTATTCAATTCGTCGATTGAACATAAAGAGTTGTTACTTTTCATTGGATGAACCACCACTTTATGTGCATTTCATTTTATATTCATAAATATACACATAAATTATTTTTAATTATTATACGAACTAATATACATGAATGATGAATCCACTTTTTAGTCATCATTAAATACACATAAATTACGTTAGATGTTACATTTTGGGTGTATACATCTCATTGTTAAACCATACACTACATCAAATTAGTCGTTGAACGCAACTTCTAAAATTATAATTATAAAACGAATTATAGGTATTAAATGACAAATATACATTATCGATCAAAACGAATTACTTTATAGCACACTTCTGCTTATAGAGTTACTATATAATCCGCCAGCCATAATTACCTCCACCAATTAGGCAATTTTAATATATTTCTTCCGTTCTCTCTTTATTCAACATATATGTGTATGCTCTTTTGATCTTCGATAGGAATTAATTACCGAATCAGGATATTCTTGCCCCCAGTTTTGTGGGTTACTAGGAAACTGCATGTACGTCGTAAAGACGACCAGGGTAAGAAAGTGACAGTCATTCTTACAAACAAAATTACATACATATATCTCTCAAAGACATCACTTGCGTGTGTGTGAGGGAATACTCCAACCATATTAAAAGCTTTAATTGTACATAAATAATTACGAAACAGAAAAAGAAGGGAAACAAATCATGTGAATGTGCGTCGAACCATAAGTCCAAAATACCTTATTTCATGGCCAACCATTTTTTGGCCATTGTGTCCTCTGACTCCTCTCTCTGGTCCAAGAAATTCCATCGTCGGCATTTAAAAGGTCTCGACTTGAGATCATCTCTTCACAAAACAAAAATGAAAGACCACAACAATGCCAAACATGGCTGGTTCACCAAGTGCATGAAGGCACCAATCAGACTCCTCACCAAGGCCAAGCACTTCTACATCCACAGCATCACCGAGTGCTCCGGCCGCTTCCCTTACCTCGACGCCGCCATGGGCTGCCCCACCGGCCAACTCTCTGCCCTCCCTCGCAGCTTTAGCGTTAGCTCTACCAGATCAAGCTCCGTTCAAGATTACAAGGACCTTGTCAAGGCTGCTGCTGCTGCAAGGACTTCCCCTGTCAGCCGAGTTGAATTTGGTGTTCCGGCCAAACAGCCTGCTCCGCCGGCTAGAGTGCCTCGGAGTCGCAGCGTTGTGATCGGAAGAATCGACGAGGACAAGCCTTGTGACTTCGGAGACGATCTACCAATCAGGCCAAATATATATCCAAGAAGCAAAAGCTATGCTGCTCGCAGGAGATCAGGAACGCTTTGACGTTCAAGCGACTATCGTAAGCCAAAGCCTGAAATGAACTTTTTTTCAGAAGTATATAAAGTACTGGTTCTTCTTTTTTAAAGTACAGAGTGGCCTGAGATCTCTGAGTTTAATTTGGGGAGGCGTGTTAAGGCATGAACTTTGTGAAAGATGTATGTCTAAAATTAGAATGCTCAACTTTTTTTTTTTTCTACAGAAAGTTACGAAGAATTTGTGCTCATGACAGTGAGTATTTTTAATTAATTTGTGTGGTTTTTATCTGTCAGGATCTAGGATTTATTTATATATATTTACAGCTTGGACCCAAATGAAACAAATCAGATAGAAAATGAAATATTATCCATGCTCATGTCTCATGTTGATAGTCCTCTGTTTCAGATCCTGCATGCTTTCAGATTCCTTCTTGAGAACAGAGTTATTTATTAATCAAATACATACAGAGTTTACGTATTTGGATATATAGATGTTGAAATTGATTGCGTCAATTTCTATTCCGAGCCAGAAATAACCAATTCTCAAAAATTTAAACTGATGATAGACATAAAATTAAAAAAATGTATGAAAATGTATATTCTGCCCTCAAATAATTAATGAAGGAAAACGGGAAATAATGAATGACAATGAATAGATATATAGATGATCGTGTATGGTTTAGTAGTTTTGGTTTTTAAAAATACGAGAATCAGCAGAAAGCAAACAAAATTCAATAGCAAAAAAACTGAAATTAACGCATACCTAGGGTTGGAACTTAGAAGCGAAAAAGTAAAATGGAAGCATGCCCAAAAGCAGAATGGGACTGGGAACCAGGAGTGGGATTGACAAGGACTGATTTAGAAACATCCCAATCCTCACCCAGCCTTCTCATCATTTACCACTCATTGCTTAACACGGCACCTACCAAACCACTTAGGAGGGATGTAATCATTCTGCATATTTCCTTTTCGGTTCCCAATCTTCTCTCACTGTTAAATGCATGCTTATCTCCCCTTGTTTTCTGCATCTATCTCTTCTGGCTTTTCTAAACTATTCCAAATTGCATCTAATGACACCCAATTCTACCAAGGTCCTTTCAAGAATTCTAATTTCAGTCACGTTGACTTTTTTTATTTCAAGATCTCCGTCCATGTATGTAAGCTTTCTTCGGCATTATAAGATGTGTGCTTTTCACTTTTTGAGGGCTGAATGCTCATGCTTCTTCATCAACCATATCACTCTTTCTCCTCCTCCTCCTCCTCTAAATGCAGGACTTGAAAAGCATATATTAAGAAAAATCTGCTTGGTTTCCAATCAATGCCTGACCACTTCATTCAGTCACTGCACAACAATTAATAATTATAGAAGCAACTGGGCTGGCTGATAGACCTCGTGCATTATCGTATTTAAGTCCATAGATGACGTCACTTTTACACAAAAGTAATATGATAGAGGAAAAACGTGATTTCATTAATTGAGTAAGCTGTATATATATATATATATATGCATACAGATGCTATAGAGCAGGAAAAATAGATAACAAACTATCTAATTAACTTAATACACTGTGCAAATTTATTGTCCATTGAAATTAATCAACCATTAACAGTTTTTACATCTATCAAGGTCGGTGGATATATTGATCGTGGAGAACAAACATTATTTGGAATCCTACACAATGACATTCTTACACGCATCAAGCTCCCAAATTGTTGGAGCTCTGATACAAAAGATCAGTGGTGATCTTTAGGATTGTTACAAAAGCCGATCCTATCCTCTTAAAGCACCACATTTTCTAGCATATATACCCAAATAGAACATCGCAAGGTACAGGTTTGGTAAAATCCTTACCAATCACATTCCTTAAGTTTCACGCCACTTTTGTAAAATCTCTCTTATTATTCTCCAATTAACTTCAAATTTCAATCTAATCAAGAGACTTTTTCAAAGTAAGTGACAAGTTTGTCAAGTTCACAAATAGGTTATAAAAATATTAGATAAGTAAGGTTACTCTTATTAATCCTCCCCAATCTCCCAAACATAATAATAATTACTAATTTTGTCAATTTTCACAAGTGAGGATAACAAATTTAACGAACTTAAACAAAAGGGATCCCAAGTTTTCAATGTTTAAAACACCCCAAAAGAACTTTACATTGAAGAATCAAAGTTTATTTTGTATGCGAAAGCATGGAATCTCAAAAGGGTCAGTGCATTTGCATATATTCAAAAACTGTGATATAGTGCAAAAACAGAGCCGTGCATTGTGGCTCGTGGCACTTATACCACGGCTTGTGCACCTCTATACCATGCGCTGCGGCATATTGCACGTTCCATGACATTAAAATTCTATTGTCATTTGACAGCGCCCAAGACAACTTCCGACATGCCTATTTCTCAGTCTGACATCTGATTAACATGATTTAAGTGTCTATAAAGAGCTTTCTCCTAACTCTAGCTATTAACTTTAGCTTTACACTCAAATTATTTCTCATTCAAGAGTTAAATGTAACAGCCCTCCTGGGTCACCACTGCCTCTCCAGGGTCTTTTCCCAGGCGCTGGACAACACACATGTCACCACATGATTGCCGGCTTTTCCCACTGGTGGTACAGTGGTTATTCCTCACCCCACCCTCACGGGGGTCTTTTGGAACCTCCCCAGACTCGAACCTCCAACCTCTACCACCTTAATGAAGTTGAGGCGAAGTCTGGTACCATTGAGTCAACTTGACTCAATGGTACCAGACTTCGCCTCAACTTCATTAAGGTGGTAGAGGTTGGAGGTTCGAGTCTGGGGAGGTTCCAAAAGACCCCCGTGAGGGTGGGGTGAGGAATAACCACTGTACCACCAGTGGGAAAAGCCGGCAATCATGTGGTGACATGTGTGTTGTCCAGCGCCTGGGAAAAGACCCTGGAGAGGCAGTGGTGACCCAGGAGGGCTGTTACATAAAAGGCGCCTTTTATGTAACAGCCCTCCTGGGTCACCACTGCCTCTCCAGGGTCTTTTCCCAGGCGCTGGACAACACACATGTCACCACATGATTGCCGGCTTTTCCCACTGGTGGTACAGTGGTTATTCCTCACCCCACCCTCACGGGGGTCTTTTGGAACCTCCCCAGACTCGAACCTCCAACCTCTACCACCTTAATGAAGTTGAGGCGAAGTCTGGTACCATTGAGTCAAGTTGACTCAATGGTACCAGACTTCGCCTCAACTTCATTAAGGTGGTAGAGGTTGGAGGTTCGAGTCTGGGGAGGTTCCAAAAGACCCCCGTGAGGGTGGGGTGAGGAATAACCACTGTACCACCAGTGGGAAAAGCCGGCAATCATGTGGTGACATGTGTGTTGTCCAGCGCCTGGGAAAAGACCCTGGAGAGGCAGTGGTGACCCAGGAGGGCTGTTACATTAAACACTCATTTTAAAATTCTCACTTTTTCACCTTTAACACAAAACTTGAGTGCCTAAACTCAATACCAAAAGCCACAAACACTCACTAAACCACATTCAATAGACTACAACGAACCTAATGACACATCATATCATTAACCATACTTATAAAATAAATTTTCATTGCTCAACTCCCTTAATCTTAAAAACAAAAGGGAGAGCTCTAAAACTCATAAATCATCAATTAATCCACATGAATCACATTTCATATGCAATTCTTACTCATATTAATATTTTGGCCTTACTATAGATCTTGCAATTTATAAACATACACCTTAAAGCCCAAAATACACTACATAATTAACAAAACACATAGTATAAGTAAGTAACAAATGAAATATTCTCTAGTTGGCAATATCATACACAATATACACATAAATGTTCAAAAGGTAAAAGAGGCCTACTAATAGGATTACAATCCTAGACCTTAGACTATTTTCCTCTGTCTGATCCTCTTGAGCTAGTTCCTAAAATATTAAAGATAGTGAGGTGAGTATAATCACTCAGTAACAAAAGTCTATCTAACTCATACTAATGCATGTCTGTAAAATCTCACTCTACTAACCACAATTTATCAAACAAACTCATGATAATCAAAGGATTAACCTATATAAGAGATTACCAAGTTTTATTTTAAAATCAAGGAATCCCAAGTTTTCATAATGCAAATGAGTTTAAATCAATTATAGTCTTTTATATTAGAGTAAAAATAAGTTACAGATACATGTGATACCTCAAAGGAGTGAAAGTTATAGAAAACAGTTGGAAAATAATGTGTTTGCTGTGAGACAAGGTAATGCACCACGGCTTGTGCACACTGTGGCAAGGCGTGTTGCTCTCTATGTCATAATCTACAACGTGTTACATACTAATGATAGCAAATTTTGCTGTCATTTGACAATAAAATCAGGAAATTTTTGACACATCCTGATTCTTCATCCAACTTCCTAATAATATATTCTAGGTGTCTATGGAAAGTTCTTTTCATAAGCTAGCTAATGGCATGAGGTTTACTTCCAATACAAGTTACACAGGAAGTTGGACACCCAAACACATTTTTTCATAGTTTTTCACAATAAAGGGTGTCCAAAATCCAAAATAAATGCCAAAAGTTTTTTTTTAACACCTGAACCATATCCATTAGACCTAAGACTATTAGCACAACACGTCACAAGCACTTAAATACCAATTTAACCTCTAAAATCACTCCTCAACCCTATTTTCTAAAAACATCAAAAGGAGGCAATTTTCATTATATTGCATCAAAACTCAATCGAATCATCTTTAAAACAATATTTCTATACTTACACTAGTATTTTGGCCCTACCAACATATATATATATATATATATTCATACACAATTGCTCAGGGCCTAAAATACATTTCAGATAATTGCTACAATAAAATAATGCAAGTGCAATAGTATGCATCCTAGAATTGAAAAAATATTCTATTACACAAAATAAACATAATCTAGAGGCATACAGTAGGAATGAAACTAATTCCTAGCCTCTTGAGTCTTCTCCCTTTCTGCACTAGAGTTAGAGCCTGTAAAATATTAAATGAAAAGGGTGAGTCTAGTCACTCAATAACCAAGGTAAAACCTACTTTATACAGTTATATATCAATTATAAATCAAACATATGCATATGAAATCAAGTTCTAAAAACATGCTTTAACACATATCATATCTTACTAATTTAGTTAGCACATTTTCATCTCACACATGCCAGGTATATAATCACAAGACACTCATACATGTGACCATAGCCCGATATATCACACGACTTGCCACAACACAAAACGTGTTACATAAGCAATGATCAATCAATCTTATATTCTCTTTATTTCATTCAATTGAAATCATAGGTTATAACACTAAATAGGGCTTCGTTCATATGACTAGACTACCCAAACTCACTA